AATAGGGTTGCTTAACGTTGAATGGAGGTTACTGATGTGATCCACATGCAAGGATTGGGTGGTTTGGGGTCAGGAAACCACACTTCACCTCAATCAACCCCATTTGGCCCATCTTTTCCAAAACGAAAGAAAGAAAAGAAAACAAAAAAATTCCCTTCCTTATCCTTCCTGCCTCTTCCTTCTTCCAGGAAGAAGCTTTCAACTTTTAGGGTTTTTTTCTAAAAGATATAGCACATCAGCACTATTCTAAATAGTCTTTTAAAAACAACAAACAGCCACCTAGAGTGGCCTTTTAGGCCAGATGGGTGGGGTATAAATCAGCTTTTAAAAACCACCACCTTCGATTTCTCACTCTCACTCTCTACAGAGGAGCACAGGAAGTTTTCAATTGTTGCTTTCAGTATCCCAATAAACTGTCTGCTTAAGCCACCTTAACGATATTGGGAAATCAAAAGCCACAAGCCCATCTGCTTTGGTTCAGTTCCAGTGATCACATATGCTGGAACCAGACGGATCCTACCCATAACTAAAACAACAACAACACCCTGCACACAATTTATTTATTATGTTGATGGACTCCAGCTACCAGGAGGCCCAAGCACCACAGCCAGCAATCAAGTATGATAGGACATCCAATATCTGGAGGGGGAGAGGTTCCTCCACCAAAGCCTTTCAGAAGATCCACCCCGCAACTTTGCATAATATGACAGTATGACTTACATTTCCTTTCTTTCTTATTTTTATTAAATGATTTTTTAAAAATTATATAACAAACAAACACACAACAAGGATGAAACAGATAACACACTAAAATACAGTAAACAAAAGCAACACCAAAAAAGCAGTAAGGCACTACCATCCATTTAAAGATCACACTCAGGCAGCCAGTCATTAAGGGAAAGCTTCCCTGAATAGAAAGATCTTTGCCTGCTTGAAGGAGGACAGCAAAGATGGGGCCAGTCCGGCCTCCTGTGGGAGGGAGTTCCAAAGTCCCAAGAAGGCCCTCTCCCGTGTACCCATGAAATGGACCAGGTGGTGGCACCTCTCCTGATGATCTTAGGCTCATAAAGGATAAATCCTTTTGTGGAAGCTTTAGATAGGGCTTTATGGAGTACCAGGGCATATCCTGTTTCTCAGCAACATGTGTAATTGTACAATAATATTGGGCTTCTGTGAGTCCCAATACCATAATTATGATGGCCCGGTCAAAAAAGTATCCCAAGAGAACTTGGTAGGTTTGCTGAGACCATTTTTTTTTCATCTAGATGTGTGTGTGTGTGTGTGTGTGTGTGTGTGTGTGTGTGTGTGTGTGTGTGTGTGTGTGTGTGTGTGTGTGTACAGTCTATGTAAGAATAGCTGAAATCCTATTGCTTAAAGTAGTAAGTCACTACTTACTATGTAGGCCCATTGAATCAAATAGGTTTATTCTAGCTGTCCTTTTAAATCTACTCTTTGCACCGCAATGCAGTCTTGATTGGTGAAAGCACTTATGATTGAACATATCTATTATGCTAAATTAAATCACAAATAGAGTAGGCTTATTTAAATCAACTGAACTTACTTACAGTTGAGTCAGCAAATCACCACTGATTCAATGGACCAACTCTAGTGTGACTTACTACACTTAGCAGGAGGATTTCAGCCATTATTTGTTTTATTATTGTAAGCTGCCTTAGGTCCTCTTACGCAGAAGTGTATCCATAATAATATATTGATAAAATGAGGATGATGATAAAATGGCAAGTATTTGGAAACTTGTTTAAAACAATAGGGATAATGCTGCGATACTGCCCTGCGTCTATAGGATCAATATTAAAGGTCTGCTTTTGTGTGTACAGTGGGGTCTCTACTTAAGAACGTCTCTACTTAAGAACAATCCAACTTAAGAACAGCTCCATTTGCTAAATTTTGCTTCTACTTGAGAACAGAAATCCAAGATAAGAACAGGAAAAAAACCCTTTCCTGCTCTTTTTTTAACCTTAGGTCATCTGAGGTTAAAAAAAAATTCTCCCCCTAGTGGTAGAGTACGTATTAACCAGCTTTGCATTAGTTCCTATGGGAACTAATGTTTCAATGTACGAACGCACCTCTACATAACAAAAAAACAGCCAGAACGGATTAATTGGTTTTCAGTCCATTCCTATGGGAAATTTTGCTTCAACTTAAGAACGTTTCAACTTAAGAACACCATTCCAAAAGTTCTTAAGTAGAGGTTTTACTGTATTCTGCAACAAATCATTATGGTGCAGAAGTAAAATGTCGCATCCTGTGTGGAAGTGAATTGAAGGTACACATGGAGGAGGGAAGTGAAAAGTTATGCACCTCCCTGTTTAAAAAAAATCACCTGTGAACATTCATTCACAATAATGCTGGTATAGCTTGGAGGGGCTGGGATTTCGGATTTTCATTATTCCTCTCATGAGATGCCCACAAGTTTGTGTTGCTGATGGGATTAAGTGCCCTGCTACCTCTGCTGCCTTGGCCAAACTGCAAAGTCCCAGAATGCCACTAAAAGGAGGAATTGCTAAACCTCTTCTGAATCTATTATGCATTATGAGGGATCAAGTCAGAACCGACTTATAATGACCCTTTCAAGGTACGTATGGCCTACCTGTATGGTGGTTTGAGAGAGGGGTCAGGAAGGCCATACATGTGCATACAGAAAATCCCTCACTCAACAGGAGTGGAGGCCTTAGATCAGGGGTCTCAAACATGCGGCCCGGGGGTCATTTGCAGCCTGCCGAATGATAGTTTGCGGCCCCTGCCTTGCCTGCCCCCCCTTGAAGCCCCCACACGTCCTGTGCTGTGAAGAGTCAAAAAAAAGCCTTGCCTCGCTCGCTAGCTCTCTCCCAAGACAGCGCCTCTCCCCCCCTCCATCCTGAACTGCAGCCTGCCAGCCGGCCCGCCAACAGCAGCCACAGCCGCCTCTTCCAGAGAAGTGGCTCTCTGGCTCTCTTTCTCTCTCGGCACCCCCAGCACCAGCCCGGCCAGCAGCCACCTCAGCACCTGACAGTGCTTCCTCCTTCTCCTCCTATTCATCCTGCTTCAGCTGCCTCGGCTCTGGAGGCTGCCTGGGCTCGCCTCGCAAAGTTTGCGCCTTTGTCGTGGTGGGGGTAGCTGCTGCTGCTGGTGGGGGGGGTAGCTGCTGCTGAGGAGTGCTTTTTTGAGGGGGCCCTCAGAGGAAGGTTGCTGGACCTCCATGTGTGTGCGCGTGTTTTTGTGCATGCGCCTGCACCTGTGGGGGGCCCTCCCTGTTCTGTTTAATTTGGCGGGTACCAGTGGGGGCTTTTCTCCTTTGGCAAGATGATTCTGTGAGGGTTTTTTTAATTTTATGTCATGCCCTCCTCCCCCCTCCCCCGGCTAGGCGGTCGCTGGCGCTCCCTCCCTTCTCTGCTTCTTCGTCCTGCTGGTGGTGGTGGTAGTGAAGAAGGAGCCAGAGGGTATCGTGGCCAACGACGAGGGCTCGCGCGCTCCTCCTCCTCCTCTTCCTCTTCCTCGGAGCCCCTGCCAGGCTAAAGAAACTCCTGGGCGGCTTCCTCGGGCTCTTGCTCCACTTGGCAGAAAATCTGATGCAGCCCGGCCTCACCCAGACTCTGTCTCTAGTGACCCCCAGGTAAATTGAGTTTAAACCCCCTGCAGTAGATGTATGTAAATTTTTCTCTCTGAACCCTGGTGAAGTCTCCTTTTCTTTCATTGACCACCACCACCCATCCTTTGTCCATCTAAGGAGCCTATTCAGACAAGTAAAACCAACATAGAGAATATATCAGGGGTCGCCTACCAACTCTTCTCAGACTGAAGAAGCTACTTGGATGAGTAGCAAAACATTTCAACCCAATAAGAAAGAACCCCTGTTGCCATGACTCAGCTTCCAAATAACCTCACCTGGATGACTGAGAATCTTCACAGATATTTAAGGAGTGGTTTTACTAGATACACACACACACACACACACACACACAGAATTTCCATGACTGAGCCAGAATTAAATGCCAAGTCTCTGGAGTGTTGGTCCATCACTCTGTCCACAACACCACATTGGCGATATCTGAGCACTTTAAAGGTAAAGGTAAATGTTCCCCTTGACAATTTTTGTCCAGCCGTGTTCAACTCTAGGGGGCGGTGCTCATCCCCATTTCCAAGCCACAGAGCCAGCGTTTGTCCAAAGACAATCTTCCGTGGTCACATGGCCAGTGCGACTTAGACACGGAACACTATTACCTTCCCATCGAGGTGGTCCCTATTTATCTACTTGCATTTTCATGCTTTTGAACCGCTAGATTGGCGGGAGCTGGGAGAAGCGACGGGAGCTCACTCCATCAAGCAGATTCCATCCTACGACTGCTTAGTCTTCTGACCCTGCAGCACAGGCTTCTGCGGTTTAGCCCGCAGCACCACCACGTCCCTGGGGCCACCACGTCCTTGGGCACTTTACACCAAGGAAATCTTGGGAAGGATCAATGTGATGGCAGATAATAATTATTAGACATAACACGGATTCTGCTTTTGGTTTCAAGAGGACTTAGGTGGGATTTGCAAAAGGAAAGAGACAAATTTTCTATGGAGGCGTGGGCAGAATAAAAAGGGGAAAGTTTTCTTTTCAACTTACCTTTAAGCAACAGCAACAAAAAAATAGACAGGAAAGAAAAGATCATGTTCATTGCGTATCAAGTCGAAGACAGCTTGTGTAAATACATCACTAAAAACAGAAAGGAATGATTCTGTTGGGAAAAAGAAACTTCAGCCAATGCAGCTTAATCCAAACAAAATTTTACAGAACATGCCACAGCCACTGTGATCGTTCTTTCTCGGATCATATGAGTGATTTCTCTGTTATTCATAGCAGTTAATCAATTGCTGGTAACCTCATCCTGCTGAAAGCAGCTACTTAGGAAACTTTAAAGGAGATGGGTGTGGACGCCTTTAACGGCCTCGTCAAGAGTGGGAGGAGTTTCTCCTCTCCAGAAAAAATAACAAGAAAGCAAAGGTGAATCACTCACTCACTCACTCAGGCAGGGACAAGTGCTGGGTGTCTCCTGAACTGCTGAAATCAGTTCACGTGTTCCCTGCAGAAAGGTAGGTACCACTGCTTATTTTTCAGTGATTGCTAGCAGCGGAGGGTCCTTGGAAGTCATCTTTAGTCATCTTATCTTTTTAATCCGACTCTTTGCACTGCAATGTAGTTTTGCTGGGTGAAAGCTGTTCCGATTGAGCTTGCCTATGTACATTACATACATGGAGAGAAGGACCAGACAGTTTTCTTTTGCCACTGGGAGAAAGGACAGATGTGCACAGCTGGAAGTGGGGGAGTGGCAATAACCCAGCGGGTTATAGGAACATCAGTAGCATTAGCGTCTGAGCCACAATCCTAGACACACTTCTGATTCAACATTGTCCATTGTACGGTTGATCTGAGGGACAGCAGCAAACATTACTATTGGAATTAAAACAGCCTTTAAGAGGTTTTGGCAGGGAGGGACCTGTCTGGGCTGGAATATCTATCAGTCAATCCAGTAGTAGTAGCCAATTGTTTCCTCCTTTCCGCCTCAGATTTTGAAGAGAGCCATGCTTCTCTGTTCCCGCTATTTTTCAGTCAGGAGCTTGTGTTCAGTCAGTCATGTATTGAGTCAGTCATGCAGTTAGTTACTCAGTTGAGCCCTGTTTGTGTAACCAGCCATTATTTTTTCTACAATATGCTGTTTATTTATGTATTCAGAGCTGTGAGTAAATTGAACTTTCTCTTCTTTCTCTTACCAGTGTCTCTGAGGAATTTATTGAGACAGTAAGGGCTAGCTAATGAGAACTAGCAATAAAGGGTGGTCTACTGTGAGGAGACGTGAAAGTAATTCTACTCTGTATGACCCTGAACCTTTTCTGTTGCGTAACTAAAGATTTTCAAAGCCATACATTTTCACACTGCCAAGAGTAACAAATAAAATGGTGGGCTAGTGATGTCAATTGTGGTCCATATGTTGCAGATTTCCTTCAAGTTAGAGACAACAGCTTGGATCCAGATTTTAGCCCAAGCTGGTTTCTCTACAGCAGTCCCTCCAGCCCCATAAAAATGCTACAGGTAGGATGAGGACATTGCCCGGAAGGAATGCTTCTGTCCATACACAGGTAGGATGAGGACATCCTACTGAATAGGGCAGGAGCTCATTGCCCGGAAGGAATGCTTCTGTCCATAGAAAGCAGATCTGGGAACCAACATCTGGCTCCGCAGCCAGAAACCTAAGCCACTGACGTATCCAGCATCTTATAAGGCCAGAATGTTGCTGATATCAAAGACATCAATTATTCTGTAAGCTATCTTCATACTTTATCACTCCTGCTAGACTGTGTTTACACGGCACAGTTATAGCAGCTGGATGCCACTGTAAACTTTCCTGTAAACCATCTAAAAACATTCTTCAGTTTATATTCTAAGGAAATATTTAGATGTCTATGCTAGAGAGCTGTAGTGTATTTAGGACAGAACACTAGCACAAACTCTTGTATAGAGTTGTATATACATTAAGTAAGCGACAAACCCCAGAGTTTCACAGGTTGCAGTCATGTTATCAGGATGCAGTAACTACCATATTTTTCCATGTATAAGACATCCCCATGTATAAGGACACTCTCCCTTTTCTAACCCCAAATTAAGAAATCTTAACATTGATTATTAAGCCTCTTGGTTCAGAACGCTCAGACAACAGTCCCTGTTGAACTTGAGAACTGCCTATAGACTCCACTTCCAAGGAGGTGTATTCGAATTGCTTTGATCCCTGCTTTCCCCCTTCTTGCTAAGCCTCACAGGGATTAGCAAGGGGGGGGAAGAGATCAAAGCACTGCAGGATCACTATGATTCCTTCTGTCTTTCTTTGGCTTAGCAAAAGGAGGGGAAAGGAATCAAAGCAGTCCCACAGCTGTATGATTGCTTTGATCCCTGCTTTCCCTCTCCATGTTCAGCCCCATGGGGCTTAGCAAGTGAAGGGGGAAAGGGATCAAAGCACTGCAGGATCCTAACTCTAGGAAGCTAAGCCTCATGATTGAAGGAAGCCTGTTTGCAGAGGCAAGGTATGCGCTGTTTTGTCCTCTTCTCGGCTTACGTCTGTGTATAAGACAACACTCAATTTTTAGTCTAAATATTTTAGACAAAAGTATCATCTTATACATGGAAAAATACAGTATATCATGTAGTTATATTCCTAATGTTCCCTTACTGACGATCACCTATGCCATTTCTAGTCTTAATTATAAAATGTCAATGCGGTGTCTTTATGTTTCATTTTTCCTCCCTTCAAAACTCAGCGGCAGACAGTGTGAGGAGGGGGTCCTGGTAGACTTGAAAGGCTACCTATGTTTAATATTTTAGTGGTCCATTAATGGTATTATAGGCTTTTATAGGGTTAGAGTGCAAGATATTACCGGCAGCAATGATGACATCGAACATGAGGAGAGATTGGGAAAATATTTCTAGGAAGGAAGCACTGATTAGAGCAATTTAATGGCTATTCCAGACCACAGTCTTTTTGAATCAGCAACAGCCAATTTGAAGTCATACAAGTATCTACATAAAATGTAGGTATTTTATTACCCAGAATATGATACTGATTTGAAAGGGCTATTCGGTTTAGCAAATGAGCAAGTAAGTTATTGCTGGAAATCAAGAACAAACAAGCTGACTAATAGAAAGGAAAAAGGACCTAGTGATTGAAAGTTCCTTACTCCCAATAAGTAGCAAATCTGTATTAAGTTGTAAAGAACCAAGTACTGGAGTGGGTGGAAGGATGCCTGCATAAAAGCATTCTTTTCCTGGGGGAATCTGCAAGAATAAATAAATTGCTTTTGTACTGCTTGCAGCTTTGTCTGCTTGAGAGACATAATGGGAAAAGCTTTGCGATTTTGACAATAGAAAGATGGTCTCAACTAGAAGATTAAATAGCTCACGTATGAACAGAGACTAAAATTATAGGACGGGCCTGATCCTGTATACATGTTCCTGGCCTGAGGCCAAAAATGTGGTTTTGCAGTTAGAAACAGCGTCTGCCTAGATGGTATTGTTTGTGGCAAAGGGCAATGGTTTTGCAGGATTTCAGAGTGAAGGAAGGATTTCTGTAGGATTTGGGATGGGGTGGAGTCAGAACACGATTATAGTTTGTGAGCAAAATGTTGGTGCACAGTGCACACCACTTAAACATGTCTGTGCATTTTATTTGTGTCTTGTCACATCCTTGGCTTGTTTCTGAGTGGCTCATCCGATAATATTTAAAAGGCTATAAGCTACGGAAAGGAAATCCCTAAAACATGGAACTAGATAGTTTTAGGTTTGTGTGGAATGAAAGAGATGGCTTAAAAAGAAGGTAAAACATATGCAGTACTTTTAATGGCAGACCTGTGGTTTTGGGGCCCTGAAGCTTGAACTGTTATGGGGGCCCCTTCACAACCAGTAACAGAATTTGGTAGCAGCTGTTATCTTCTTGGGGTTGCTCCAAAACAGATCACTAAAGTCATTTCTGAGGCCCCCTTGGAAAAATCTGGTAACGACTGTTATCTTCTTGGGGTTGCTCCAAAAACAGATCACCACATGTTTTTTAAAAATGTGGACTAAAGTCATTTCTGAGGCCCCCTTGGAAGCTTCTGTTTCTGTTATTTCATAGTACATTCACTCTTGAGTACTTTTGAACCAGGGTCCCCAACTCCCAGTTGGGCTGTGGCCTTGGCAGGACTGGGCCGTGGAGACAGATCTCCCCCACATGTATGCCCCCACATGCATGCACACACGGGGGCCCCTACGCATGCACAGGTGCCCCGCTTACCCCTGTGCGTGTGCCCCACCCACCCACACATGTGCACACTGGTGCCCCGCCTACTGACATGCACATCCCACCCACTCACACATGCATCCCACTCATTCACATGTGTGCCCTGCCCACTCGCACGAGTGCACGGGTGCCCCACCCATGCACAGACACCCCAACTGCTCCACGGTTCGGAAAAGGTTGGGGACCACTTGGGTGCTCCACCCATGCACGGACCCCACCAACTGGTCCGCGGTTCGGAAAAGGTTGGGGACCACTGCTTTAGAACATATTGACTGAAACCCCATTGCACAGCTTTCTGCCATGCATCAAGGATGATATCATTAGCTGTGGCCACTTCAGGACAATAAAAAAGCTTCCTGGAGCCCCTCCAGGTTTTCAGGATCCCTATGGCCTCCTTCGTCCTGACTTTAGAAATGATGAAATGGGATGGGAAATGAGTTAAAGCCTAAAAAGTGTGGCCACTGGTCCCTGTCCTGTCACTGAGATTGGTGGTGGCTGTTTTCTGGCTTTAAATAATTCCCCCTCCTTATCTGCCACTCCCAAAGGTTGCCCAGGATGAAGGGGATTCCTAGGGATCCCTGAAACATAGAGGGGGAATCTATGAAGCTTTTTATTGCCCCCAAACAGCTGTGGCTGACGACATCCTCATAGTGCAGTGCAGCTCTGTCAACAAGATGTCAGTCATGGAGTGTTTTGCTTGATGGAAATCATGGGGGATACATGTCCAGTGGACTGGATGCTGGCTGGCCTTAGTATCCCAGTAACACATAACTAAATCAAGATGCTAGTTCCTAATAGAATGAATCTGTTTAATAATTGCTGGATGGTTTGTCAATGTTTGTGACACAAATCCAAATGAGAGACAGGTCTCGGAATGTATAAAAGATGTATATGATCTTTATGCTTATTTTGAAATGCTTGATGTGTTTTGGCACACGGCCTTCTCCAGGAGCAAGATTTTAGAATCCAAACTCCAGTAGCTCATTCGATCTGTACCAGCTCCAACTATCAATGAGAAGACTAGAGGGTGATTACCATGGAATCCTGAGACCTGTCTCTCATTTGGATTTCTATCATCATTGGATTAACAGTTCCTTGTGTTCTGCTTAGCCAATGTTCATGCAAGCATCATTTATTCAGTGGGCCCTACTGTAACAGAGATTGGATTTAGGTCAAAAGATGCTGGGAAATGTGGTATAAAATAGTTGACCTCATGGATGAAGTCTCCATAATGACATAATGTAACTCTTTCCTAAGCTGGTGCCGTCC